TATCAAATCAAATTAATCAAATCAAAATTTTTATTTCAAGTAGACCACAAAAGGCACTTTTGAACGTCAAGCAAAAAAGAATCATAAGGTTTAACTTTATATGTGTCAGTCTGTCCGTCTGTCCTCTAGTGAAGCTATTTGCTCGTTCCAAAGTGTAGATTCCTATGGAGAAGAACGAGCAAGAAACTCCATGGTTACTCTTTTTCAATCACTTTTTGCAATGCATTGTTACATAATTTAGATAGTTCCATTATGTGAGAACAGTGTAACACTAGTGTTTAAGCAAAGGATCCGAAAAAGAAATGAACCAAAAAAATTAATGTTTATCACATAGTATTTTAGCTTCGGATCTTTTCAGAAGACAAACTTCGTTTTAAAAAGGTTTATAATAACAATGATCATTAAATTCTAAAGCCGAAACTTGAATTGAATAACATTATACAAGAAGTTAGACATAATAATGAATAAATAACCATTAATTACAAACCTCAAATACTTTCAGAATTCTCATTTAGATACGAATCTAGTTAAGACTCGATTTCCTACCCTATCTTTTGTGTTATAAGTCTTAAATTGATGGAATAACGTTTTATGAAAAAGAATGGATGAATTTTAATTGGTTTTGAAGTTTATAATATTTTATTTTAGGGCTGATTTTTCAATGGTTAGATAAAAGTTATTTGGAGAATAATTATGTTGCTGTCGCGTCAGAATGTTAGTATAAGACAGTGACAGCAACAATTTTAATCCTCAGATAACATTGATCTGAATGGAATGATTGGAATGGTTTTATCGGATAATGACAAAATCAAAGAGAGGTGGAAGTAATATTTTGAAAGACTTATGAATGAGGAAAATAATTGGAGTGGGGTTTTAGAGAATAAACCAGTGAATGTGGGGTTAGTGAGAATGGTTAGTATGGAGGAAGTCAGAGTAGCAGTAAACGGAATGAAAAATGGTAAAGCCATTGGCCCAGATGGAATACCAGTTGAGGTGTGGAAGTTATTAAGAGTAGATGGATGGGTGTGGTTGGCTTTGTTCTTCAATAAATTGTTGCAGGAAGAAACCATACCTGATGAATGGTGCAACAGTTCTTTGGTGCCCATCTTTAAAAACAAAGGAGATGTCCTTGAGTGCAACAATTATAGAGGAATAAAGCTAATGTCGCATACCATGAAAGTATGGGAGAAAGTTATTGAACGGCGGCTGAGAGAAGAGAGTGACATTTCACAGAACCAATTCGGTTTTATGCCTGGTCGTAGTACAACAGATGCCATATTTGCTATACGCCAGTTGTGCGAAAAATACAGAGGTGCACATAAAAACTTGCACATGGTATTCGTTGACCTCGAAAAGGCATACGACCGGGTACCTCGTGAGGTTCTGTGGTGGGCCCTTAAGGAGAAAGGTGTGCCTGGGAAGTATGTGCAGTTGATCCGATCAATGTATAGTCGCTGCAGTACACAAGTCCGGTCTGCAGCGGGCACCACTAGCCAGTTCAATGTGGCTGTCGGTTTACACCAGGGGTCGGCTCTCAGCCCTTACCTCTTCCTGATAATAATGGACGCACTGACGTCGGACATTCAGGAAGAGGCTCCCTGGTGTATGCTGTTTGCCGATGATATTGTGCTGGTTGCCGAGAGTGCCCTAGAGGTCCAGAGCAGATTGGAGGTGTGGTGGCAAAGACTGGAGAGTGTTGGCCTAAAATTGAGCAGAACTAAAACAGAGTACTTGTTCTGCGATTTTGGCGGTCTCTCTAGTTCTGTGCCCATAGCTCTCGCCGGAACGCCCATACCAACCTGTTCTGATTTTCGGTACCTTGGCTCGCTTATCCAAGGAAATGGTGAGATAGACCGAGACGTGGCACATCGGATCAACTCAGGATGGATGAAATGGCGACAGGTCACTGGAACAACTTGCGACCCACGGATGCCCCTCAGGTTGAAGGGTAAAATCTACAAGTCAGTGATAAGGCCTGTCCTACTGTATGGGTCAGAATGTTGGGCTCTGAAAAAGACGGATGAAAAGCGATTGCATGTAGCAGAGATGAGAATGCTGAGATGGATGTGTGGTGTGACGAGATTGGATAAAGTGAGAAATGAGTATATTAGAGGAAGTTTGAAAGTGGCGCCAGTGACTGAAAAGTTGAAAGGGAACCGTTTGTCTTGGTATGGCCATGTGAAAAGGAGGGATGAAAAGCATGTAACAAAAAAAGTCATGTGTATAAATGTGGATGGATGGAGAGGCAGGGGGAGACCAAAGAAAATATGGATGGATTGTGTGAGAAGTGATATGGAAGACAGAGGAGTTAGCGATAGCGTGACGAGTGACAGGACAGAATGGAAGAAAAAAACATATTGCGCCGACCCCAAATAAAACGGGACAAGGGCAGGAAGATGATAATGAGATAACATTGATCTGACTATTAAAAATTAAACTTAAGGCTATAAAAATGTTACGTAAGAACCAAAAAGGAGCCGAGTAGCGAGTGAAAACACGCGGGAGTACATTATTTAATAAATAAATGGAACAAACACATACATACATAGTTATATGTATCGGTAGTCAACAACAGAGTATCATTATATATAACCATCATAGCTGTTATAATCTTGAGGTTTAATCCTGACTGTTTATCGGAGTAAGCCGCTTATCAAAGACACAGCTAACGTAATATTGTGCTTCGCTTTATTAAGGGGTAACTAGGGGTATGTAGGGAAGGTACTTATGGAAAAGAAAGAGCGTGATAGAACTTCAAACATAATAGTTAGAGAGCCAAGCTTCGGCATGAGTGGGTCGGCTCGACCGGAGTGATACCACGGCCTTACAGAAAACCGCCGTGAAACAACCACACCATTGTTATCGCCATGTGAATAAGGTCACCGGAGGCCCAATCCCTCCCCCTTCTCCAATCAATTCTGAATCCTTAAATATACATAACCGTTATTCCTAAAAGACTGGCAACGCAATCGTAACTCCTTAGATGTGTCCATGGGTGGCACAGATTGCTTACCATAAGGTAATCCGTACGCTCGTGTTCCGTCCTATCACATAAAAAAATGCTATCCTTTCTTCCTTAGCTGGGAGAAATCTTTCTTAAAAAGGGAAACAACAATTCGTTCATCGAAATTAGTGTTCAGTTTTCCTAACGAAAACCTATCATGACTACAACATTAGATAGCACTTTTGGTAGATGTGATATTAACATCTTGTCTTCCAGTACATGAGACACATGAGATCTGCGCTTACATACCAGAATAAGTGCCTGTTTCACTACGTTTAGAACTTGGTTTTTATTCAGTAAGATTCTGACACTCACTTTCGCCCCACGAAGCGCGGGAGAAATAATTTGAAAAAAAATGTAGGCCTACTTTTAGTCTAGGTAGGTCTAGAAATTTTGTCTTACATCGTCAGTGCGTTTAAAAACTTACAGTTTCACATATACAACACACCCAAAGCCGGAATAACTATAATGTGGATCATACAAAGAGTTGTTCAGTGTAATGGAAAGTTTAAAAGTTGGAACGTACCCGTGTTTGGTTTACTCAGTTGAAATAAATTTAAACTTTGACTTTATTAAAGAAGTATTAGAATAGCAGACAATAATATATTTCTCTACTTCTCTGGTTTTGAATCTAAGACCCCATACTTTACAATCATAAAACTCACATGTGATCTCTCGTACCAACCACTTAATGACAGTTTACACTACAACCCATAATGGCCATCATTTAGGAAGTATACCGAAACAGTTTTATCGATAATGCCATCTTAAGCACATCACTAGCGGTTAGCAGTATATCGACAGTTTGACACTGTTTACTGTCGCGAGAACCGTTAATCATGCTGTCCAACATCACTCCGACATAATGGGATAAACTTTGGTACAGATTTGTATGTTTAAATTTTACTTTAATTCAGTTTTTATCATCACTCGGCTTTTGTCACCCGGGGTGCGGCGAGAGAGAGTATCAGACTGACTAAAAACCATATTGTTCCTTCTCCTACTCAGAAGCCGGGGTCGTGGTACATTATTGCGCTTACCCCTGCATATTTGACTGTACATCAGCCCTACTAAGCCATATCTGTGGTGTAGTTGTTGTATTATCTCTAATTAGTTATACTAATCATTGTCACACTAGAATTGTCAATGTCAGTGTCATCCTTTCACTATAAATAAGGTGGCCGAGAGAGTGTCGGCCATTGACAATGTAACTTCTGGTGCAGTGAGCTGCCCGACTGTGTACTGTGCTATTAAAGTCAAGTATTCAAGATCCAAGTCTTTTATTCATATTACAGTAGTTAAGATGCGTTGTATTTTTACCTCACTATGCTTCACATTACGATTATTAATAACGATTAAGAAGATAAAGCTGCTTTCATTTACGAATAGACAAGGCACTTAATGCAAGCAATTGTTCCAATAATATGATCTCCATATGCCTTGCGCTTAAACGCTAGCCGAACGAGTGGATAGAAAACACTGATATTTTTGGCAAGTTAAGTCAAGCAATTTCTTTTTCCCTTTTTTACTATAATCTCTACTGGTGTCCGCGAGGCTGCGGGACATTTGATAATTTCCCAACTCAAAAAAAGTCGAGCACATACTCAAACTGTGCTGGCCTATTTTCAAGAGGACGTGGAAATAGACGAAGTATGCGCTTCTCTTTTGCCCTACAACTGCAACAGCTGGTTAAAAATCTATTATGTACCACTTCAATATATGAAAACCGAATAAAATTATTAACTTTGTTTAACAATTTACTAACGAAACTGTTTCACATTTACAGAAGAATTGGGCTAGAAGCATTGCGCAAAAAAATTGCACCATTACGGCAAACGTCGCGTTATGCTGCTTATAAATGTGAGCTCCGTTGTGACTTGAAACTAATCGAAGTACTCGCCAAAGACAAACGAGAGTAAGCTGTTCAACATAGTAAAATTTTAATTTGTTTCACGAACGATATAATACAAAAATACTTGAAAATAAGAAGACTTACCGTACGCAAGAATGAAACATCATCTTGCTCGCTTGCTCCTCCCTCCGCTTCCGCCATTTTGAATTCTTATTTAACTGTCAGTGAGTTACTGCAACGTTGCCATAACACTCGAAATGCATCACTGTGGACAAACAAAAAGACGTATTAATATTCTGATTTAATTTGTATAAATCGTGGTATAAATTATATTATTTATCGTTTTCATGTGATACAATGGGCAAACGGGGGCTTCAGTATAACCCAAAAGTAAATAATCAGCGCTACGCATACATAAGCTACGGTTGCATTGCCGTTTCGGGATTTGACATTTTGAAAGTCGAAGTCAAAATCATTTATTCCAAACACAAACAGCTACCTTTGAAATGTCAAAACGTACAAAGATTGTCTGTCAATCTGTTCATTAGTTATGATAGGCGCTTCTAAAGTGTAGATTCGAATGAAAAAGTACGAATACATTTTTAATACACATAATTGTACCCACATGAGAAAACAACGCAGATTGTTAAAAAAATAAAGTATATATTACACATAACACATTTTTATGGTTCTGGCAATGTCTATCCTAGTAATTAGGCTACATAAAAGTATTACATATTTAGGTAAACAGTGAGTAAACTAAGCGTTGTGTTAAAAATATTTCGTTGTTATTACCTAATTCTAACATTCCATTAGCCGGCAGGTGTAAAAATATCAAGAGTAATTTAATGGTAACATAGTTAGTTCCATTGTAAAATAGATAATGTATGTATGTATAATGAAATATTGTGTTTTTGGAGTAAATATGTCGTGTTTTTTTTATGTGATAAGTCGGCAAACGAACAAACGGATTACCTGACGTTTAGCAATCAGGGTCGCCCATAGACAATCAAAATGACGGAGGAGTTACGAGTGCGTTGCCGGCCTTTTGGGGATTAGGTATTTGGAGATTTTGGGAGTGAGTAGAAGAAATATTGGGTCTCCGGTGACCTCCCTCACACGGCGAAACACAACGCTGTGGTTGTTTCACGTCGATTTTCTGTGAGGTTAAGCCGACCCATTTGTGCCGAAGCATGGTCCTAGACTTAAAAAGTCCCCTGGTTGGAAGTTAAAGAGCCCGCATCTCATGCATCGAGTGTGAGATTTTTTTTGTGCAACACGGAATTCGTTATTCGTAAGTTCGTAAGCAATAAAGAGAGAAGCAAAAAATCTATTACGAACTCTTTTACGAATTTCTTTGAACATGGACATAAAAATATCCAAAATTTCCCCTCTAAACCTCTTTTTCATTAGGACTATATTAAATTGAATCTACTCTATAATTTATATCTTAAACATTCCACACATATCTTATCAGTACCCTTATCTAATACAAAGTTTCAAACAGTTACCTCACCAACCCTTCAAAGTTCCAACTTTGACCCTGAGCCAAACTATTTCATGAAAGTATTATTAGTAGGTCCGTTTTATAGTAAGTGTGGGAGAACCAAGCTTCGGCTCGACCGGAGTGATACAACGGCCTCACAGAAAAATACTTGCAGTTGACTGGTAGAGAATACCTTTGCCCATTAAATCCGCCTTTGTCTACAGAATATTCCTAGAGTGTTAAATAAATAATTAAAACCGGCGTGAAACAACCACAGCGTTGTGTTTCGCTGTGTGAGTGATGTAACCGGAGGCCCAATCCCTTCCCAATCCTTAAATATCTGAAACCCTTATCCCCAAGAGGCCGGCAGGGCACTCGTAACTCTTTTGGTGTTGCAGGTGTCCATGGGCGGCGCCGATTGCTTACCATCACTTTATCAGTCTGCTCGTTTCCCGACCTATCCCATAAAAAAAGCAGAGCACGAAATATGGGTCTTCTATTTCTGCTTAACTTGTTGTTTTGAGTTGACCATATAATTCAGTATAACAACAACTACTGTCTCTTTATTTTCTTATGAGTTTGCTAAATAACTGCAGAGTATATAAGTTGTACCCATTGCAGTCAGCAAACGATTGTGTGAACAAGGCTTTAGAATGCCAAACCAACAGGTTGGGGTCTTGAGGTCACGATATTTGGGGTAGTGACGTGACATTAACGTCCGAATGGGGTCCGGACAAATGGGTGAATGGTGACTTGGATTTTTGTTCAAAGGCATGTTTGTCGTAATAGAATGAATGCCAATGAGTGTAAAAATTCCAATCCACTTTTTAGTGTATTGGAATTTTTATTGTAAGACTAGCCGTATTTGTTTATAACCAGCCCTTTTTTTGCAAGGACAACATGCACATAGTATCAGTTCTTTAATAGTAGGGACTACATAGTTATCAACGTGCATGTGGTGATAGCCTGTAGTTTAAAATGGTCGCTTCTCATGCATGACGGTTCAAAACCTGGCAAGTACCAATGTGACTTTTTCCGAGTTATACGCACTCTCTATGATTTTTTTGACACCACTGACAAACGGTGAAGGAAAACATCGTGATACAACCTGGACTAATTTTTTGTTATAAGTTTTTAATCGCCAATGCGCCTTGTGAAAACGTAGTAATTAATGCTCAGACTCCATGTGCGGAGAGGCCTTTCCTCAGCAGTGGGCACTTAAAGGCTGATGATGTGATGTGATGTGCATGGTTGTCGTGGCGATCCGGAAATTGTTGTTCTGGGGCTGGGTGTGACGGGTATGTGAAGTTGTCTATTTGCAAAAGCAGCTAAAGCTACACTTTCGGATGGCACTCTGATGCAGAGCAAGCCGACAACCCAACAGTGTTCTGTTGCGATTTGTATCCTATGGTTACGATTAAGTTATTATATTGAATGCCCAACCAATACCGACGGTTCAGAATCAAACTTTATAAATAAACATGGCTGTCTAAGATTGCAGGTCCAACGACAATGACGGCTTAAAAGAACAAGGGGGTTTGTAGTTACTAATCATCTGAATTTCGCTTTCGCCCCACATAGAGCGGGAGAACCAATTAGATCGTGTACTCCTCTAAAAAAATCATCATTAGTATCTACTATTAAACAAATAGCAGACAAATTCAGCGAATCGCTATCAGGTCATGACCGTTTGCCTTGGAACGTAGCGTACACTGCCAAAACAGACAAGGTAAGACGATGCACTTTAGCGCTTACCCTTTATGTAACAAAGTGACCTTGAGTCTAAACTATTGATAAATCAATTCAATGTTAAACATATAATTTGTTTATTTAAAATCAATACATTCTGCTATTAACTAGTAATCCTTTTATTATTTGGTGGAACGCGGTTTAGGAAGACATGCAGTAGTTGTCAGTTTTTTGCAGTTTTGGTCACATACGTACTTTTGTACGAATGTGCGGTCCAAATTATTTTTAGTTTCATATCTGCTCCTACTATACACCTGTAGCGAAAATAAAAGCATTTTTTGCAAGAGCTATACGTACCAATGATCTTCAAACTCAGATTGACATGTCAGTAAGAGTCTGACACTCTCTCTCATGCCATGCTGGGCGGGCTAAGTCATTGCGTGATATTCCCTTCTAAAAACGTCGTTTTATAAATCCATTTTAAAATAAGGAGTTTTATACCATGTACTTGATTTATATGAATGCGAAAGTAAGAAGGCCTCTCCCAAAGGTCACACTGCAATCGCATGTTCAACAAACTACTCTGCATGCATAAATGCCAAGCTAAACTGATTTACACCTCACAGTCAGAGACATAAAAGCTTTACCAGCACTGCTAGTGTATTGCGGATTTTATTATCTCCTATGGAATGGAAGCCATTTTGTTAGATTTTTCTTTTCTTATTTCAAATTTTCTCAGTTATTTTTTTTCTATTTAAATGGTAGCTAAAGCAGTCGATTTTATACAACTCATTAGAAATATAATTGGTAATGGCATATATACATAATATGTTGGATACATGTTTGATATTTTTTGTGATAGTATCTGATCTAAATTTGTTACAGAACTTCTAAGTTGTTCTTCATTCCATTAAGAAAGACACCAACAACCTTTTTTATGGGGGGTAATTTGACTTCTCCCCTTCTGGGTGTGGCGAGAGGTTATACTGGTTACAAACCACCCCGTTCTTATTCCTGTTCTAGGCCAGGCCCCTCCCCTATCCCCCTCCCCCGAATTCCCAGAATTTCCAAAACGCTTATCAACCAAAATGTCAATCAAGTAACACGTCTGCTACTTGGCCGCCGTATTACATAAAAATTTGATATGACATAAACAGAACAACTCAAAATAAACATCTTTTATTAAACATTGCCTATCACTCTGCCGGTACCAATTCAATAGAACGCGTCGTGTATCGTTTTTTGTTCGCGTCAACCAACAAACCGCACGTCATGTTAAATTGAAACCTGATATTGTGTTCATGTTCCGGTAAATAATAGAACTCAGGAAATTAACGTTCTTTCTAGAATTTATTATTATGGTAATTTTCATTTTCATGATTTGCAAATGACTGTATTGCTTATTCGTGGGTTTCCCATTTTTAATCGGATTATGGGCATGTAAACTGTTTATTTGATGGCAAGGATTGCCCATGGCGTTAGCAATTTGATATAAATGCTTTTCTGATAAAAATACTATAACAGTATATTGAGCGTCTGCGTGCAACGTGCGAACGTAGGCGTCTTCAAATGATTTGTAGATAGACAGGTCGAAAGCGACCTGCACCCAGCGGGTATCTGCAACCTGAGGTCGTCCATATTTAAAAAGAATATTTATATTATTGTAAACGAATGTTTTAAAAGTATTACAGTAAGCCAGGTGGTACTGACAACTTTGTCTCTACGGTTAAAGCAAAACGGAAGCCTATCCTCTAGCCTGCTAAAAATCATATAAATAAAAAATCGCCTCAATGCAAAGTCGAAGAAAAACAAACAACCAAAGGCACTTTCTTATCATCTCACGGTCTCATGGTCTTTCCAATTCTTCTTCTGATTTTCAACTTTGACTGCGACATTTTAGTATTGAGTTTCATATTTAGTGCCTACATAGGATACAGGTAGGGTGACTGGCTCTCATTCATCATCATCAGAAAGTATTCAACTCACACTCATTCATATATACATATATGAATGAAACCTTTGTGTAGATGTAGGATGAAATTCATGTATTATTATAATTTTCAGCCTGAACGATTCAGGGATAATGTAAG